AGCTCTGTTCTAAGGTTCTTAAAATCAACCACAGTTTGTTTTTTTTTTGTTTTGTTTTTTTTTTTTTTTTTGTTTTTTTTTTGTGTGTGTGTGTGTGTGTGTGTGTGTGTGTGTGTGTGTGTGTGTGTGTGTGTGTGTGTGTGTGTGTGTGTGTGTTATCCGGACCAGTATCCTTTGTAGAGTCAAGATTTTGATAAGTCTGGAAAGGTCCCGAACCGAGATATTCAAAAGCTTTTGCTCCATGACGTTGGGGGTAGTCAGGTAGGGTGTGGCTTTTGTTGTCTAACGGTAGAAACGATGTTTATTACGAAGTGCTCAGTCTTATCTGATAACCTGAAAGATTATTTATAACGGAGGATGTGCCGGTGGCTTAAGAGTTATCAGCGCGGAAATGGAATCGGTGCGTCGAATTCAGATTACTACCTGGTTTAATTATACATCCTAATTTGTCAGACCAAGATGTCGAAGAACGCCGTGTCGATTAAACGATTGATTTATTAAAGCGAAAACCTTTTAAAAGTTCACTCGGAGTCCTGCAATGTAAATTCACATCGGACATTCTACAGTGTATCACCATTTCCCAAACAATTACTAATAACATGCTGAATAATAAAAGAAATGACAATACTGAATTTAAACATCTAGATACACATGATGTCAAAATTTAAACTTAAATGATGAAACTTATCAGGACATTTTAAAGTATTGATATTGAGTGCAAACGGCTTTTCTTGTATTTTTCTTTCCCAAACGTTTTTCTCCCTCTTTAATTCCATCAATAAAATCTAAATTAGTCTGAAGAAGCTTCTCGTCGGAAGGAAACGCGTAGCTAAGTAGTTTTAATGTTCTATTGTTGCTCGCTTAATCGCTATTAGTCATACATATTGTATAATATATATATATATATATATATATATATATATATATATATATATATATATATATATATATATATATACTGTATATATATATATATATACCCACTATATATATATATATATATATATATATACCCACTGTATTATTATTATTATTATTATAGATTTTTAAAGTACACAGAATGTACCTACTTCTCACGTTTTGTTCTGCCTATGTTCTATGTGAAAAGGGCTAAACTGCCTTGGAAATCGGCATTTGAAAAAAGTAAGAGTTGCCTTTATTCGAACTCTGACAACAGGCATCAAAGATAAGCACCCAACTATCTCGCCAATTCTGAAACCAACATAAATAGATAATATATATATATATATATATATATATATATATATATATATATATATATATATATATATATATATATATATATATATATATATATATATATATATAACCTTCATGATTATATATATATATATATATATATATATATAACCCCTTCCGCGATTTTCTTTAATGATCCAATAACATATTTATAAAACCCGCAAATGAATAGAGAAGAACACTAGCGGCGATCGTACTAAGATGGGCAAAAGAGAGTCAGAAGTAGTGTTGATTATTTTGCTCTCTCTCTTTCTGTCTCTCTCTCTCTCTCTCTCTCTCTCTCTCTCTCTCTCTCTCTCTCTCTCTCAAGGTAATTCCCTTAATATCAATTAATCAAGGACACCGAACTACAAACTTGTTGCATTGAAATCATTCTCTCAAATAATGCCACAATAAAATTCGTCGATCAGTTCATATTGAGCGAAGTATTGTTTGCTGGATTCATATTACAGACTTCAATTGTGTGCAAAGTAGATTCTTCTTTTAATAATCAAGAAAATGTATTAGTAATATTAGGAATTGTCGATTATGAAACGAAACAAATTGTTCAGCGGTAATTTCAACAATGACATCTTTGCTCAATTAAGCCTTTCGGATTGTAATATTTTTTTTCCATTTATTTGCAAATTTGAATAAAAAACAACAACTTGCCTTTTACAACAGATGTGATCGATCGAACTAAATTTGACGTCCATTTGGTCGATTTACTCTTCGAAGTTGAACAATGCTTCAGAAAATCTGTTGACATGATTTTATTTCTCAACAAATACTCAAAGCGAAATGAAAAAAAATAGCAACTCATTATTTAAAGAGTGTTGTGTAAATAGTAAAGGCCATAATGAATTGTCAATTAAGAAACAAATGTAGACTCCTAAGGAATAATTTCTTCCACAATCACGACTAACAATTTAACAGAAATATTCTGAGGTTATTTCTTTCTGAATAGAACGAATGACTGCAGCACATTTGCAAGTAAAATTTAATTTATTTTCAGTGTAAACTATTTAACATAATAATAGTATTTGTATCATTTTCATTTCTCCGTGAAAAAAATTTCGACTCAAGTACCTTTAAGATAGAAATTTGAATTTTTTTTATCTATTTTACAAGTAAAGAATATGACATTGAATAGGGTTTTTAAAAGTTGAATAATTTTATAACCCAAGCCCAGAATTTCAAATTGCCGCAAAATCAAAACATCAACCTGAAGACTAGCGTCATGTTCTCAAATAACTTCGTCAGATCGAGACCTTTATACAGATTTCCTGTATGGCGTCAAACCTGTTCCGAAATATCAGCGCTTTCTAAAATCAATAGTTAAAAAGGCTGTCACCGAGAGTAACCTAAGTGTCATGAGACAGATCAGCTTTCTTTGAACATTGTAGATTGGCGCTAAATATTCACAAAGAACTCTACCAAATAACTGAAATCACATCTAATAAATTGTGTGATATGAATATAAGTGTAGGAAGTAGGTAATAGGAAGCGAGGATTATAAGGATAGCATCAGGCAGGTGATTTTCCACAAAGTGCTGGTTATTACAAAGAAGCTTTCTGAGTGGTATACGTAAGAAATAAACGTGATTGAAACCTGTGGACGTAGCAAGCTGTGTCTTGGTTTGGTTTGGTTTGGTTTGACTTGTTTTACGACATATCAACCTCAATGGGTAATTTAATGTCGACAAAATTTTTATTGCTGGTAATATGTTTTTCTTCAAAAATCTATTTCTTGGAATATTTTTCCTTGAAGAAATCTATAGCTGGTAATATTTTAAAAAATGTATAGCTGTTTGTATTGCTGGTATTAATTTTTCCTTCAAAAATTATTGCTGGTAATATTTTTTTAATATTATTACAAAGTATGTCTGCTATAAAAACCTATTTATACACAAGTTTGGGTGTTAACTATTTGCCCATAGCTGGGGCCCTAACAGGAGCTACCACCCCGGGTCAGGGTAGAACTGGGAATACCAGCAATTAGGAGGTGGTTCCACGCTTCTCAAAACCTCCTGATCAGAGGCCTTGCTGTTGGATGTAGTTTATCGTCTTACCCAGGACGCTGATGTAGTTTAATGTCATACCCAGGACGACTGTGTCTTGGATACAATGGTCAAAACGTTGACTTTGTGGGAAAAGAGGTTGTGGGAGTATAAAGTAAATCATTTCCTACAAGACCCACAAGGCTGCTTAAAAAAATTTAATTCGAACAAGGCTGGCTAATGAGGACTGGGCAGCTCTATCTCAGATATGGCAGCACTACTCTATATTTGTTCTGATCTGACTTTTGTAAAGATACATAAAAAAAGTGAGGGCACGAAATTTCTGGAACGGTAAAATAAACCGAGCATTATTCCAGTATCCACTTGAGATTTGCAGATAAATTGTGTCCGAATAGAAGTTTGAAGTAAAGGATCCTTATTTCACACGTTTATCCCGATGGATTAGGCGCGTGAGATGAATGGAGAGAAAGGATGTAGGAAGAGGCTATAATGAGAAGAAGCAAGATAGACAGCAAGATAACATTTGGAGAATAAATATCGCGATCTTTTTTCAAGTGCAATGTACCGAGAAGAAAAATGTCTCCTATTTAGCTTTTGCTTCAAGCAGAAAATGAGGGTTAGCTTAAGCCAATGTTGCGCCAAGGATTTACAGGATATTTAAAAATTAATTAAGTTTATATTGTTACCTGGTAGTAATTCGTTCAGAACGTAGATCTGATCGTAAAACTTTCATTCAGCAAAGAAAATAAAAGCCAAAGCGACATCATAAAATCAGATTTATTCTGAACAATTAACTGATACTAAATTTTCTCTAGCATAGGCCGAAAATGAGGATCGAGTTTCGTTTATTGAATAAAATTTGGCTAAAATGTTATCTGGAGATTAACAAGTACGACAGACATCATCATCGACTTGAAGAAATATCTACATAATTGCTTCTTGTTTCCGAGCATGCCCATCTGCTTAGGCCAATTTGTGTTTCTTCAACGCTCACAGAGCTAACGCGGTTTATACTGCAACAACGCAGACCTCTTACCCACACCCACTATTGTAGCCCACCTACAATGAATACATTTAGTAAATTCTACCTTGAGTTACACTTTGTAATGGGTGAACAACAGTAAAAAAAAAAAAAAAAAAAAAAATGCTGAGCGAACCTTTCAGTTCAATTAGGTGACTAATCATACCACATGCAGTTTGGAATTCAGATTCGTCCTCCTTCTATACTGGTGACCAAACATGGCTAAAGAGTTCATTATGCCCAACGTCTAACATATGGCGGTAGTGGGGGCGAAGCTATGGATTCATAGGTTTCAAAAAGGTTTTTTTTGCGGGAAAGTAAATGTAACGACATCGACTGGAAACTGATTAAGATTTCACGTTCCGACCTTCCAATCACTACATGCACGTTCATATACGGTAGACAGCTAAAAGAAATGCTGTCGAATGTTTGTAAAAATCAAAATTAATTTTTAATTCGTTTTCTACGGATTATCACCCGCTTTGCAGTTTATTTGAACCCAGAAAATATTTACTTTTAGATTGTAAGAATTTGTTTTTAGTTGATAATAGTTTCGTGATATAAGTGTTACTAATTGACTCATGGCTGCGAAAAGATGGATTCACATCTTTCTCAAGTATTACCCTATAAATGAATATAACGAAAGCAACGGTATTAGAACTCGGCTCTTCGATTTCCAATTCGGAGCCATTATCCATTACACCACCCAACTATTTAAGCTTACAGCACCTGGTATTCCCAAGGGCTCAGCAATCTACCTACTAACCAGACTCGAAGTTGCTTAACTTCGCTGATCTTATGGGAACGGGTGTTTCAACATCATGTGGCCGTACGCAGAATCCAAATGAAAACACCGGTACGAATGTATCAGCGTATAAGAGCGTAAAAATCACTTTTCTTTCTTCTTTTTTTTTTTCTTAAACAGAGCGCGTGTATCTCTTTGGACATCAAAAACACTTCTAAGCAATTAGCGCCTACGACCGCTGGCCTAAATACCAAAGCTGCCAATAGAGCGGATCATTTCTGAAAAAAATTAATTACAAAAAACTTTTCTCACTTCATTCAATCAGAAATACATCAAATGGTTCCATCACAGAATAAATATTTACGTTCATAAACCCATTCAACTGAAATATAGGGTTAAATCAACCACTCAGATATTAGTCGAGATAACTAGAAAAGTAACGACAAGAATTTTTTCTAATAATTTCCGACATGAATATTGCGAATTACAGGATCTTATTGGTCCTGACCTGACATTTCTGTTCCAATTAATTTCTCACTGCCATAATATAGCTTCCCTGTGTCTTTTCTATATAGTCGATTGGTGCATAATTATCAGGCGTTTTTGTAGGCTAGTTATTGGTTAATAAAAATTGCAGTTTTGTTTACTTTTTTAAATAAAAATATTATTTTATTTTTAGGTTATAAAATGCTTGTCGATAATCATACTCATTTAAAAATGTTATTATTGATTTGTTATGTTTCTTTTTTCATAATAAATATTGCTGAATAACGACTGATAATTATGCACCAACCCAATATATTTTCATGGTAATTGTTCTGAGGAGCTTTCCTATATGGTACCTAGACTTTATGAATTTAAACGCAGTACTAGATTGGCGGAAAGGTCTCAAGTAAAAACAGCTAAATTGCAACCATAAGTTCTATGCTAACAGTTTCTTCCCTCATACTTCTCACTTGTGGAACTCTCTTCTTGCTTCCCAATTTACTTTGATCTTCAAAAAATTAAATGTAATATTATTCGTCATTTTCTGTCTCCGTAATTCCAGTTTTTTTATTGTTCTCTCTCCTTAATAGTATTTTTCTCATATTCTCTAACACTCGGTAAAGCCTAGCAATCTGAGTGGCTTTATTGCCTTGCTCGTAATTAAAAGATTTAAAAAACGAACAATCAGTGCAGATTCATCAGTAGCCTTCGTTTTTGCACGAAGGCTCTTCAGAAATGCAAGTATCCACCTCGTCTCCCCAGCTATAGATTAAATAAATGAATACATTAAAGTCTCTCGTCCTAGACAACGGTTTAAGTGAAGAAAAATATTGAATTCAAAACTTGAAAAAGGCAGCGAGAAACCACTCAACGATGTTTCCAAAAAAGTCATGACAATACATACTTAATAAAGAGAGGTGAAGCTGTTACGTTTGCCTGCGGTATTAAGGGATTATAATTTCAGATATATAATATTGTGAATTATAGGATTTACATAGAAAGGACAATCGTCGAACAAAAATTCCAAATATGTCTTCTGCGTTTAATTTTCCTTTGGGGGATAACACAGGAATTAATATCTCAGAGCTTTGGGATAAATAGTAGGATCAGCTGGGATCTCTAGCCTTTGGTGATAACTAGTCTAAGAGAAGAAAAATACTTGGAGAGGATACTTTTTGAAGAAGTCATGTCACTTCGTAGATAATAAAATGAGTGGAAGCTGTGGAGAGCCATGATAGTCTTGTGTCATAAAAGGATAATTTCAGGCATTAATGCATTGAATTATCTGATTTGCGCAAAACGTAGAATCGCAGAACCCATATTTCTGCTTCAACTGCAGCGTCCACTTTCGCAAAAATGCCCTTGAGAAAAGCCTGAATTAATCTTCTCCCCACTTCCAATGTTTTAAAATGCAGTGTCAGTTGGGATCTCTCGCTTTGGGTGACAACCGGTTTAGGAGAAGGACAAATCTGAATTCAAAACCAAAGAGAATTCAAAGATTATTCACTCCACGATCTTTGTCACGAAGTCATGACAATTACTGCATTGTTTAGAGAGAAGAAATTGTGGGGTGTTAAAACTCCTTAAATGCTGAAGAGTTATGTCAAGTTACCTCGCCCAAATTTAATATATCTGTATTTTTGGTTTTATTTTTTATTACTATATTAAATATGAAACTGAAAAATCTCCAACCTGCATTTTATATTGTTAAGACTTCTTCTTCTTCTTCTTCTTATTATTATTATTATTATTATTATTATTATTATTATTACCATGATGATGGCTCAACATAATGTCAAGTCTTTTATATCTTTATAGTAATTTTCTCTTTTTTTCTATCTCTCGTAAAACCTGTTTTGTTTTCCATTTGCACAAACCCGTTAAGTAAATTATGCGCTGTTTTTCTCTGTCCCTGATACCGTCAATATATTATGCGAGTGTCAAACATTCCAAGCCCATTTTCTTCATAATGTAACTTAGAAATTTCAACTGTATCTCTCAGATGTTAAGTATAAGTGCTCGTTTGGTTTGTATTCTCTTTAAAAATTCGCCATTACTCACTTGTTCAAAAGGTGGTATTCTTAGCCTCCTTGTTTAGAATCATACTTCTGTTGTCTGTGAGGAGATTTTCCAGCATTCACTTTCATACAGGAGGATCGATATTACATAACAGATTACTACTCCTACCTTTGTTTCTAACACAATGTTTCCGTATCTTAATACTTTGCATAGCATTTGTAAGGCATCTTTCGCTATCCTGATGAGCCTTCTGATTTCGGTGCTGCACTTTATTTCTTCTGCTAAAGCACTTTTAAATTGTTGTACTTCTTTTGATCTTAGAATCTCTAATTTGGAATTTGCAAACTGGACTGCTTCTTTTGGTGATAACTAAGCATTCTGTCTTTTGCAATTTAGGTTTAGTCCATTCTTCTCGCGTTGCTTCGCTACATTCTGCATGATTTCTTGTAATTTACATCCTTTGTTGTTTGCTATCGCCTACAGATCTTACATTGTTAAGATTGTGGCCTCAAACAACGAGTCATGCTAGGACATCTCATTTTCTCAGAATCGCCTCACTGTTTAAATAGAATAAGTCCGGTAAAAAGATACAACCTTTTCTCATACTTCTTTCTATTTTTGTAAAGAATGAAGTACTGAACTGTAAAATCAGTCCTTCTATATCACACTGAATGATGGACAATCTCCTCAGAGATTTTTAATTTTAACCTTTTCACCACAAGCAAGACGGGAGTTAAACTAGAACGCAGGGGGGTTACAGAGGTTGAAAGTGAGAGAAAAAACCGTGTATAGGGGGTGATTCAAGAAAGGATAAAATATAAACGTGGATCAATGTAACAGAAGATGGCCATTGACGTTGCATTTAAATTTTTGAAGATTGTAGTTATCAGGGAAGCAATTAAGAGGAACGTAATGCCACTGTCTGGAAGTGCGAGGATAGAAACTGTTGAAGTAGAAGTGGTTGTTATGCTTAACTATTTCGACAGTAAAAGGGTGGGACCTACATGCCAATCCAGTATCGCGCTTAAATTAATGTAGTCGGGGCACCAAGGAAAAAAGCTTGTCAGAGCAGTTGCCATATTTGTAGAAAAGATAGAGGGAAGCCACATCACGTCTATGACTGAAGCTGAGCTGCCAAGACAGGACTAATTATATTGCGGATCCTTCTCTGGATTCTGTCGAGGACCTCGTGATGAATAACGGAGATAAAGAGACTAGAAGCCACATAAATGGAATTCTACAAAAGGATGTTGAAAGTACCGTGATTTGATCAGGTGAACAACGAAGAACCTTCAGAGGCAATGAAAAGAAAGGACGCTTATACCTAACATCAGGAAGAGATAGTTTAAATTTCGACATTACTGTTGTAACCTAGGGAAGGTTACTGAATAAAATAATCACTCGAAGGTTGGTGAGGAACGATAATACTTAGGACAAGAACAACACATATAAGATTCGCCAGCGGCGCGTAGAAGTAGTAGTCAACTGCTAGAAGTAAGTCAAGTGAATTCCACAATGAATCTCCAACTGCAGGATATATAGCAACCGTCCCACGCGGTCAGATGTGGCACGAGGCCGAATTTAATGTGGGTTATCCAAGCCCGTAGGCTCGGCTAAAAATTCCCCGTAGACCCCGTCTAAAACGGGTCTGGTAGCTGTTTCCTAAGATGAGACAGTGCGGTTCGACATAGCCTCGTTTGGGGATCCTCTGTACACGGAGGCAGAGAGTTTGGCCAGCGCAGCTGGAGACAAATCTCCGACTGCAGACCAACATACAGTATGTACTACTCTATTTATGTAAATGGGGACATACCCATTATAGTCTGTAGGTATGCTACAACAGTTACTTAATGAGGAAAGGGGTTTGGAAATGTTCATACTCACAGGACAGATCGAATGCACGTGAGACAGAAGAAATACAACGTATAATCTACTTGGCCAGGTAAGTGAATGGATGTCGGAGAGATGCCAATAAAACAAAATTTATTACATGAATTTGTGGAGAATCAAGATGCTAAAATCCTGAAGGAATACGACAGATAGAAAATGACGATATGAAAAAAAGCTCATCGTATTAGATAAATGTCGTTATATTACTTGTAACGTGTTAATATATATCAAAATGTTGAGAGATTTTCTTACCAGACCAATGATTGTAACAAATAGCCTCTTCTCTATTAGTCATGCTAGGAAAATCATTTGACAGCCACGTGTATGCATTATTAGAAAGAAGTAATAATTATTAGGATAAATGACAGTTTGAAAATGATAAAAGGTTTACAAGTAAATTTTGTCATGAAGTTTTATTCATAAAAAGAAATATACAAACATTAAAATCTTTCCGTCTTTCTGTTTAAAATGTTTCTGTCTTTCTGCTTTTTTTTTCTCTCTTTTATTCTTGCCACGTTTGAAACAAGAAAAAAAAACGCATTTTACTTCATTTTATTTTTTGTTTTTCTTTAAGCTTAAGCGCCAATAATTATTAAGAAGAGTTTTATGAAAATATTCAAATAAATCATCGCTTTCGATTTTCCATTTGTGTGTGTGTGTTTTTTTTGTTTGTTTTTTTCTTTCTCTCTAT